GTTTTAGAAAATCTATATTATGATTTTCCCTTACGTTACGAGCGAAGTTCGTGCCCGCGGCCCCCCACAGCCCCAGCTAAACGCTTAGCAATTACGTTGCCAAGCCATTAATGGTGTTGCGGTTGTTCATGGGCGACGGTAGTTACTTACCATCAGATGAGCCGCATGCTCGTTTGCCCCCTCTTCTATAAAAAAGTTATATATCTATACAAATAAATAAAATTGAATTTTCCGTTTGTAATGTTAAAATAACAGCTTTTTACAAAAAACCTAGTTTTTAATAAAAATTTACGCCTATTTTCTTTGGCAATCAATTTAATAAAATACTTTTTAAATTATGCAACTAGGACACAATAAGAAAAATGAAGTTGTTATATTAAAATAAAAATGTATATATAACTATATTAGTAGTACTTCTGAAGAAACATTATTTATCTGCCTAGTAAGCCATTGAGTAATCTGGAAGTGCATAAAACAAAGTTTGTGGTGACACAGAACGCATCTCGCTCCAGTTCCCGCCTCGCTAGGTCATGACGTCACAATCACGGACCGCATGAAGGTCGGCCATATCGATCTCGAACACGCCCGTTATTCGTTCCACCGACTTGCATAATCCCTCACGTGACGCATACAAAATATAAGAATTACTTAAGCAATGCTACAATTAAAATAATACATTGCTACGCACAAAGAGAACCTTTGAAATTGGTAACTTTTAGATTCAAACTACTTTTACGGATTTTATCGCGTTTATTTATGTTATTTTTAATACGGGGATCCCCCGTGACCATGGGTGCTGGAAAGCACCCGAAACGTCGGGTATTAAAAATAACATAAATAAAACGCGATAAAATCCGTAAAAGTAGTTTGAATCAATGTATAGTGTTCGCGTAAACATAACAAATCATTATGGTAACTTTTAAATTTATTTGCGCATAGTCACCCACCACACACATGCTGAGGCAAAATGAAATCGCATCTGTCCTAACCTGTAAATATGGGAGTATTCTCTCCTACGGGGATGATCCCACGGGGGAATTTTTGGTCTAAGCGCTGGATGTAAATTTCACAGTAAATAGGTTTGATCCCCACCGATTAATGAAATTTTATTTGTAATTTTAATTCTGATTTACGATGTGTTCGGCGGTAAAGGAAAACATAATTAGGAAGCTTGCATGTTTGAAATAAAAATATTTTAAAGACAAGTACGCCAAAACTGGCGCAGCGCGGTGGACTGATTCCTCCATAACCCTCTCAGAAATGAGAGAAGACCTATACCCGGCTGTGGGAAATGTATGGACTGCAACCTAATGACACTGTCCTTAAACCATCATTTGGTATCACTATTAATAAATAAATAAAAAATCGGAGATAGGCAGAGTAGAATAGAGAAATGTTTATGGCAATAATGTTTCATAGTTTACTTATTTATTAATTTTTTTTAGACGCCGATTGAGTTGAAGAAAAGACTGGACGAAATAAGACTACTGGAATCACGGAAGTCCGCAAGGTTGGCCGATGTCGATACGGATTTCGCGAGGCTTGCTGATATGGCTGGTGACCGTCGACGTGCCTCCGCTACTATTGAAGTGCCTACACATCACATGCAGGGGTGAGAGAAATCTTATTAAGTATTTATTAATATATAAGTATTTAATAACAATCTTATTATTATATAACTTAATTTAAGGTGTAAGAACACATTTTGTAATATTTTCAAGTGTATTACAGAACTTTCTGTAGATAATTTACAGTTTTTTTTAATTTATTTTATGTACATACATCAAGATACAGATTTTATATAAGGGTGTCAAACGAGTACATAGTCCACCTGATGGTAAATGGATACTGAAGCCCATAGAAATCTACAACAATCCTCGAAAATGAAGTTGCGTTGTCACCCCTGAGGACTAAGATTGAATGCCTCATTTCCAGCAAAAAGGGTCTCCGGATCTCTACATTCACTATACGAAACACAGCAACTTCAAGCTGCTATTTTACGTTGGTATTCTGTAAGAGCGTGGTCCTTCCCCGATTGAGCCGACCCAATCGTGCTATAACCCTCATACCTAAGTATATAGTTTCGGTGTGGCTTGCTTGCTCATGTTATTATTTAAGCTTATGTATTCTATAGAACACCTTTGTGAGTATGCTCATACTATTGTAAAAGTCAATATATACGATATATACACATTTATAATCAAATAATAGTATAGATCACTGATTCATAACAATTGGTTCAGAAAATACATATTCTGTGAAGAACCAGGAAGAAACCCAACATTTTTAAAGTTTATTCATTTACAACTACTTGGTAACAATCACCTCATTCCGTGGAGTTAATATAATGTATGTATTTCTATTACCTTCTATAGAGAATCGTAATAGTACGGATTGATAAATTAGAAAAGAGATATAATTGTGTTAATTTTCAATAATATCTCTAGTGATATTTGCATAGGTTTCATATAATTTAATCTCAAACTGTCCATCATTCAAATCCTAAGAAAGTTTACCGTAATGACGAATAATAAAAATACAACGCTCTCGTACAGCTTTCTCATAAGGTCAATCATATTAACAACTTGAATCGTAATAAACATGTTGTTGCTGAAATAAAGGCCATTATCACACGTCATTTCGTTTGTAGATACAACATTTTTATGGTCGTGGGTAATAAGTTGGCATTAGAAGTGGAAGGAGATTGTAGCTACAACAAATGTGTAGTGAGTGAAAATGTTCATTAATATTTGTTTTATTCTTGTCTCTACAATATATTATATATAAGCCAACACATTGCAAAAACACTACATTTTTATTCTGATCAATGACTTTTTAAAAAAATCGTTTTTTTTTCTTGTCTTCTATATCGAGTAAAGGCGTAATAGGAGCATATTGAATAGGACTAGGAGCATATTGAATAGGACTAGGAGCATATTGAATATTAGCATAATAGATTCAAAATTGGGTGGGCTATCACATGAGTAATCAAATGAATATAGACCATAATACATTGTAGCGTTAACGAGCATCGGTAGAGACAGGCGCGGGCGGGTGTTGCGAAATCAGCACCGAGCGTTAGAAACTGGATGGAAGTGTTAGCGCGGAGTACGGGCGTGTCCTTGTCACACTTGCCTACATTCAGTGCTCGCCGCCCGAGCCTCGCGCCCCACCCGGCCTCACAGGGACTGACAATGCAACACTGTGAGACCGATTAGAAAATTCCAACAGATTGGCGCGATTTCATACAAAACACTTAGAACGAAATAAATTCAACTCTTAAAGATAGAATTCTAGTTAAATTTTACTCGGAAAAAGTATATCGAAGCTGTAGAAAAGGTTACGTATCCTTTTTAATGAAATAAAATTCAACGTTTAACTATTGGAACCGGAACAAACTACGTTGGCTGTAGCAACGTGCCGCCTGTAGCCGCTGAGATTTCACTTTTCATCACGACGGTGGTGAGAGGTGAGACCTCTACCTCTCAGTCCAAATTTCACAACTATTGCCGAAACAAAAGCACTGCTGGTAACTGACAGCACTGACCAAAATTATTAATCAATGATGATCAATATACGTAATAATATTCATATATATATATATATATATATATATATATATATATATATATATATATATATATAAAGAATTCATGCGACAAGGGTATAGAATACAATAGTGTTATGCAGTTACATATACATCGATCAATTAAATTGTTTAAACATTACAAAAAAGTAAAAAACATATGTGACTGACATAGTTATGCTCAACTAAATTGCTTTAATTTAACCTAAGATCCAAGAGATTTGAAGTTACACAGATATAAAAAATATATTTGAATTTATATTGTTCCCTTTTTTAAAGTAAAAATATATATATATATATATATAATATATATATAATATTGGATACCTCGTGGATATCGTAAATCAAATTCTATTACGACTAGCAAACAAGTGTAGGTACTTCCGCTCTTGGATTTTCCTCTATATCTTGTTTATTTAATTTCTCATCACAGTTTTAAACTGGTTCTGTGGTTTCTTTGTTAATGTACTATTGTTTATATTTCCTTAGGCGGCTTTCAAAGAAATCCCAAATCGTGATTTTAAATTTCGCAATCACAAGACTGAGTTGCTTCAAGTGAAAGCTTACCAGTTACTTATCAGACACGATTGTTGTTTTGATCTGTAATTAAGAGATATGAAAATTAACAAAATATAATTAAAAAATGAATTATTTATAATTATTTTATATTATTTAAAATTAGTACATTAATACAATGGATACATGTAAATTAACTGGTAACGTTTATAGCACAAATCAACGAAATTCAAAGATGGCGTCGTGTTTGCCTGGTACTTGGCGCGGCCGCCATGACACACTAACCTAGTTTTAAAATGGAACGACATACTAGAAAAGTGCTGCATACAGCGATGTTCGCCGTTACCGTATCAAAACGACAAATTATATTCATATAACTTTTCCTTGTGCGTACTGAAATGATAAAAAGAAAAGTTCATACTTAAATATATCTCACTATCATATCTCACGATCATATTAATTCAATCATTGTTTCGAATCTAGCATGCTACGATGTCCTCGTGCAGGTAGCTCAGTCGGTCAGTAGGGCGGCATCAGAACCCGCATTTTGATTACGCAAGACTGCAACTCGTAACTACTTATCTGTTTTTCGTCTATTACTTCAAAAGGTTACTACATATTAGTTGCAATACACCGAACAGAATATGTTATAATCAAAGCGTGACTTAACAAATCGCATATTAGAATAACGAGGGCCGTATTAGCCATAAGCTGAAGTATGTTAATTAAAAACGTTTCAGTGTCATGGACAGTGACGTGATATGAAGGGCAACTAGAAATTAGTACTCGTAACGCATTCTACTGTAATACGAGCAATAACTATTGAACCATTAAATATTATTTCAAAGTATTGCCTTTTTCATTAATAAGTTGATATAATTTTAAAATTTAGCAATGATCAAGACTTACGTTAATGAATTATGATGTGATGGTAACTTACATTATACATTTCACATAGGTACGTTTCCGGAACGTGTAAAGAGAATGGGCGGTAGTGGGGGGATACACTTTCTCGTGGGGTACACGTTTGCTTTCGTCGATACCGCGTCGGCAAAAGGCCCGTTATCTCATTTGGCAGGTGCTGGTATGTCGCCTTCATTTAGAGAAAGTGTTACAAAAATGGGAGTCGTTAAAGTTATGCAAAGATTGGTGCCGTGAATTGCGTTAATTATTCAACGTTAAGTTAATATTAAATTTACATCCAGATTTAAACTCGAGGTTATTAGTAAATATTACTCATCCGGATTTTCAGTTGTGTTGACTTTGGATCGACCTTCCTGCAGGTTATTCCACCGATCAGTCGCACAAAAACTTTTGGTTTTGGTTTAAATATAGTCACGAACTAATTTATACTCGGCGTTAAGGTAACAAATTAATCAATTCCTTACATTCTTTATTTCATATGTACAAAATTAATAAAACTTGAATAACAATAATACTCCTGTATTTTAAATGTTTTTATAAAAGACGTCAGTTTAGAATATATAAAAAAAATGATGAACAGAAATTGGCAAATTGTCTAATTAGTGAGATATTTAAACGAAAAATATTATATTAATAAATCAAATTATTTTTTTTAGAATGAAGTAACAGAGAATCGTTTCGAGGATGTCATTAGAGACTAATTACTGCGTGACTTTAGTAGAGTCAGAACGACGTCACACTGTGACAATTACCAACTAATACTATAGCATTGAACTGCTCCAGGAAGGTCACCTCAACATGCTGCTTTGTCCGGACGTCAGTTATATTAATATCCTCTTACACAATGTCATTTTTCAATGTTAACTTTTTAATTGTATGAAGATGATTATGGATTGGTGGCTTCCTATTCTTACCTAGAAAATAAATAATGTATAAAGCTTATTTTATTCATAATGAGGAAAAAGGTGTAATAATGTTATCCCGGTAATTTTTTTTATTTTAAAAAGTTAACATTCAGACAAAAGTCAAAGTTCTATCGTTCTACTTAAAATAGAAAGTTCAACAATATTTTATACGAGATGTATCTATGCAGACATTTTTAAAGTATGGAATAAAACTAATTGTACGGATTTTATCGTGTTTAGTTTTAACTTTTTTTTAAATCCCGACGTTTGCATCGGCACTTTGTAGCGCCCATGGTCGCGGTGGTACTAAGGTGTTTGTTGAAATTAAAGTTGGTATTTTTTTTGTCGAAAAGGGGGCAAACGAGCATGCGGCTCACCTGATGGTAAGTGACTACCGCTGCCTATGAACAACCGCAATACCAGGGGAATTGCAGATGCGTTGTCGGCATTTTAGAAAGGAGTAAGCTCTTTTCTTGAAGGTCCCTAGGTCTTATCGATCCGGAAAAGTCGCCGATGGTTAACAATTCCACAGAGAAGTTGTACGAGGAAGAAAATTCCTAGTAAAACCGCAGTGGTGGACCGCCAAGCATCCAGATGGTGAGGATGGTATCGGGAATATTACACGATGTACGTTCATGAAATTCGGAGGCTAGAACTAATCCGGACAATTGCTTAGATTGC